GCACATTTTACACTGTAACCTAGGACATTGGCAAAACTGAGACACCTCAAATTTGCACTTGTCCAGGTTTCGCCAATTGCTTGGGCCAGATGAAAAACTCCTTGCATTGGAGGCTATAAAGTTATTTTCTTTTAAAATCTTGTAAAATCCTACCAAACCAAAAATCATTAGCTGTGGACTAAACTGGCAATTGAAGCACAAGAGGCTGATGTTTTAATCTCCTCTTGTACTAGGGTGTGGCTGAGTCAACCGTGAACGCCAGTGGCTGTGTTGCAGCATCTACTTGAGTTTTTATTTGTGAATTTATAGAAATATGTGATCCGTGGACATGTGCCAATCCTATAAGAATATTAATCTCCATTTGTCCAAGAATTTTGTAGTCATAAAAGCTTGTTAAATATAGAATCTGTCCATCTGCTATGCGGGGTCTGCCATCCTTATGAAGGGTGTCTCTGCAGTGCTGCCGAGTACACTGATCTTACCCTACAGCTGCACAAATGGGTTTGACTTTAGCATCAGTTCACAGTACAGCCACTAAACAAAACTGGTAGGGAAACTAGAAAGGGCAGATTTAAAGCTGTGCTTCCATATCTTTGGAAAAAAAATCTTACTTTTTAATTCTACGTAATGATGATTATTAAAATTAATGTGGGTTCTAACTGTGTAAGTAGTGGTTGAGGTACCTAACACCAAATTTGTATTTTGAAATTACTAGGCATGGGATTTTCAAGGAAGGTGATGGGAAGCTGCTCTCATAATTTTGCTAGTTTTGGAGTGCTGATATGCTTGTGAGCCCTAGCCTTGAGTCTCAACAGTGTTAAGTATGTACCAAACATCCTCGTTTTAATTAAAAATGTGTTACCTAACCCTTTGGAATTTGGATTGGGGTGGGGTGGCCAGGAGTGTTTTCTATCAAACCTTTTACAACAAAAAAATTTCCACCAAGTGGCAGCCTCTCACAGGAAAATAAAAATTTGGGGGTTAGTAGTCAAATCTTTCCTTCACACAGACCACTTTACTTTCTTGAGAGGCCATGGTGTATTTTGGGAACGTATGGAACAGCTTCTTCACTGTGGCAGGAATGGCCTCACCAGTACTGCGCGGTGGGGGAAACAGGAAGCACCCGCCTTGCAGGGCTTTGCTGAAACCCACGTCTCAATGGCTGCGTGTTCCCTTTTCCACCAGGCTGCTGCGCGGGAGGGAGGCGCAGAAGGAAGGAGGTGAATGCAGAAGGTTTCTGCACAGCAAATTGTAACCGCCTGTCTTGGCGTTTCACAGGTTCAAAGGACCATCGCGAAACAGATTCAGATGGTAAAGCAGATTGGAAAAGGTCGCTATGGAGAAGTCTGGATGGGAAAGTGGCGTGGCGAAAAGGTAGCTGTGAAAGTGTTTTTTACCACGGAGGAGGCCAGCTGGTTCAGAGAAACAGAAATCTACCAGACTGTCCTGATGAGGCATGAAAATATTCTCGGTGAGTGAAATTAAAGAGAATTCTTTGACTGTGTACAGGTTTCTTAAGTTTAATAATCTTCGATTTGCTGTTGTCTGATGCCCTTTCCTGTGTGCTTTCTTAGCTGCTGTGCTCTGCAATTAGCCACCCAGCACTTTTCAAGAGACAGATGTTTCAAGGTTTACTGAAACAGAAATAAAGGTTAAAAAATAATGGGGTTTGGGGGCTGTTGCTCCAAACACCACATGTCTGTTTCTGCCACCTCTTATTTCCATATCTGGGCTTTCTGAAAATATGTTAAAGGCTAGAGGTGAGGCATAGTTGCATGGAAGTAAGATGAAAGAAATTAAATACGTTATTAAAATAAAACAATTGAAGTGGCTGATAGTCCAGAGTTCTGAGCAGTCAAAAAAAACAACCCTGAGAAGTATTAATTTGAAAATAATCTTTTTTTCTTTCAGGATTCATTGCCGCAGACATTAAAGGTACAGGATCTTGGACCCAGCTGTATCTCATCACCGACTACCATGAAAACGGCTCACTTTATGATTATCTAAAATCTACTACCTTGGACACAAAAGCCATGCTAAAACTGGCTTACTCCTCCGTTAGTGGCTTGTGCCACCTGCACACCGAAATCTTCAGTACTCAGGGCAAACCTGCTATTGCCCACCGTGACCTAAAAAGTAAGAATATCCTGGTGAAAAAGAATGGCACCTGCTGTATAGCAGATTTGGGCTTGGCAGTTAAGTTTATCAGGTGAGTAGAAGTGAGGAGGGGGAGGAAAATTTGGTAAATTAGATGCAAATTCTGGTTTAGTTGTTGACTGAGCGAGCGTGCACATGTGAGTGAGCACCTGCAGCGTATGTGCACACCTTTCAGGCTATGTCTGTGAGATGGGGCTACCTGTGCGGGTGAGGATGTTGCCTAAACACATAATGCACATGTATAAATAATAACTTTTTCATTATTGAGTACATTAGTTGTATTTGCATAAAGGTTCAGTTTTCATCACTTTGCCCTCAAGAGCAACCTGAGTATTGCTGCCACGTGCTAAAAGGATGAAGCACTGACAGGTTGAAGTCATGTCAGTAAACTTGTCACTGAAGCTTTCAGCTTCACTCAAAACCTATATAGAACAATACTAATCATTTGCACAAGTTACTAATTGGGATTTATTGAAAAGCACTCCATTTGGGCTGCCTTTTGTTTCATTTCCTACAAATCAAATTGCCAAAGTACAGATTTGATTTTTGAAATGGCTTTTAAATTTGATTTTAAAAAAATGGTTGAGTGTTTAAACAACTTAGAGCAGAGAAGTAGGACTTACTCACCCCTGGGATTTGTAAAGGAGTCATCGCTGTCTGACAGCTCTGTTCAAAAGGCGCATGAGCTCTCAGCAGTGGTCTTGGTGGTGGAAATGTGTGTTACGAAGTCTCTGATTTTTCTGTGCACAGAAATGTGGCCGTAGACTGAAGGTTTCTGTTTCAGAGGTCAGCTTTGAAATGGCATGCTCCCTGAAGTATCAAAAACAAGTTTAAGAATTCTGTACAAATCTTGAACTGAAATTACTCAGAGTGTAAGGGAAGGCAGTTTTTTATGTGCTCTTCTCGCCATTCACTTATCTGCCAGGTTTCTTGGTGAGGCTTTTACTTTATGAACCTGACCTTTCTTTAGGAGATGAGAAAGGAATATTTTTACTTTGAGGAACAGGGGTCTAGAAAATAACAGCTTGGAAATACACTATTTGCTGTAAAAGTTTCAGGGAAGAAATTCACCCTTTGCAGGTGTACCTTGCTTGACAAGTACAAAGCAGCACACTGCTTAGGGGTGAACTGAGAAGATCTAGGAACTACCAAATGTTGCTATAAAAGGTGGTGACATATGTATTTGTCACAGTCCAAATGGAATTCACATTACATACTTGGCTTATTTTCATGCTGAATCCTTCCTGAGACAGCATTTCTCAGGCAATGACCAGGAACAGAAAAAAGTAGTTGAAAGGGGTATGCTCTGCTGGAGCTAATGAGTTTAGTAAAGTCCTCTGCATTACTCATTTTATTCAAAATATTGCAAGATGGTGCAGGTCACTAGATTTATGTTACATTCTTGGAGGTATGCAGAAATACCACCAGCATATGTATGATTTAATGACTGTGTAGGTGACTGTTTCTCAGGCTCAGCTTTTTTGTGTCATTTTCATAACTTGGGTGAAGAAAATTACAGAAGAAGTTTTATAATTATGCTGTGAGACTTTGTTGTATCCATCACATTTTAAAATGTTTACATTTTGAAGGTGGGGAAAGGGAAACAGACCTTTCTAAGCAAACCACAATATATGCCATATGTTAAACTTTTAGAAACATTAAAACAGATACAGCTGAATTTGAGTTAATAATAAAAAAAAAAAAAAAGAAATCTGGTAACATAATTAATGGGAATTTGCTTCCTGTTAGAGATATGTTGTCTCTTCTGGTCAATGTGTGAGGTGTGACACATTTGGGTAGATTTTTTTACACATTTACATCTGTGTGTTTACACATCTTGACGTGTAAAGGTTGGGAGAGATCAAACATAATGCATACACAAAAAATAGTTAGACTTGTCTTCCTGGCAGATCTGATTTGCTACAGCTAAGTGATACTGCCCCAGCTATTTAGTGTCCTCCATTAATTGCTAAGACTAAACCATTAGGTGGTAGAGTATGTTAAGAAAACAGCATTTAATGAAGATTTGATTGTTATCACCAGCATTAGAGCTCTGGCTAATGCTAATGAAATCTCACAAATGTTACAGCATCCCTGTTGAGTCTTATCTCCATTGTGGTTCTGCATTTGAATGCTTAACATAGCCTCAGGCGGGTCAGCCTTTTAAGGAGGGTTGCCTTCACACCAAGAGGCTTTCCTTGTAAGAACTGTTCTATTAAGATTATGCATTACTTTTGACCTTGTTCGAGAGTGGATGTGGTGAATGTACTGCTTCTCCCATCTAAATTGCTTTCTTTTCAAGCAACTTTATTGCATATTTGATGCCTTTTTTTTTTTTTCCCCTTTCTTTTCCTTTTAGTGATACAAACGAGGTAGACATACCTCCAAATACCCGTGTAGGAACAAAACGCTATATGCCTCCAGAGGTGCTGGATGAAAGCTTGAATAGAAATCACTTTCAGTCATACATCATGGCTGATATGTACAGTTTTGGACTCATCCTTTGGGAGGTAGCAAGGAGATGTGTTTCAGGAGGTAAAGAGCTGAGAGATTGCTTTTAATTGTGTCAGCGAACTCTATTTATAACCCGAATCTTCCATTGCATCCTTTTCCCTGGGTAAATTTTTTTACTGTAATAAACAAATGTGGATAAACTGTACAGGTAACTCTTTTTTCTTCTTGAAACTTGCTTTAAAGCATCCGTCAGTGCTATTTCAACAGTAAAGATTTTGACTGTTTTAATGGCACGTTTGAAGGCAGCAGGTGCCTGCACTGAAGAAGGAATATAAACTCATCTGGGGGCCTTTTCCAATGGCAACACATTTTTGCTGGGCTGGGGATATTCAGCTATCTTAGAAAGTAAACAGTGATTGCTTTGTTTTGTTAGAGTAAATAGAAGGAGGAGGACAAACAATTTGGGGGTATGCTGTGCCACTATATAAAATAAATAATTATTTATTTTAGACAAGTAGAAACAAAACAGAGGGAAATGGCACTTATTACATCATTGTCGTACCAGTGATGTGCCCCATTTCTTTCTGTTATCAGACATTCAAGCGTGAGGACAGCAAGGATAAAGCAATGCAGCCAGCTGTAGACTTGGGGCATAGATCCATCCTTGTACGCTTAGGCTATGTGTGCTTTCTGCGTGTAGAACTCAGTATAGTGCAGGAGTGGTGGGTGTTATTACTTCTATTTTGCCACTGGGGAAAGTTAAATACAGAGAAATGACTTGGCAGCAGTTAAGTGCCAGATTGGTGGCAAGTAAGAGTAGAGCATGTCTCTCTCGGGTCTGCGCTACCTTCACCAGACTTTATGGGTCTTAAAAGCCTGCAATATTGTGCTGAATGCTCACTCCATGCTTACCCTAGAGGAGCTGAATTTCAGTGATGAGCAATGTGATCCCTGTGTTTACAAACTGGTAAAGTGTATTGCAATGATGTGATGTCAAATCTGTAATATTATTGTTATCATTGCTATGCACAAAGAATGGTACCTTGCCATATTCTGAAAAGGCACAGAAATCCCCGTTAATATATACCAGGTCCACTGATAAGAAGGAGACCTAAATCAAGGTTAATTCTCTGCCAAATTACTCTGCTACGGGCCTGATGCTGATAGTTCTTTCTGTGATAGCTTACTGGAGATTGCTGGACTTGACAGCAGTGGTAAAAGCTGTCTCACTGGGCAAGTTACTACACTTTCGGATTAAGGTACCTGGCCAGTCTTTACAGGGCAGTGGTTACTTTGGAACTTGGCTGTGGAATAAACACATATAAATAGGGCAGGGAAGTTATTTTAAGGAGAAGTATGTCTAATTGTTAAACAGTATGGTCAATCTGTTTTAAAATGAGAGGGGAAGAGATGAGAGGGGAAGTGGGTAGTGGAAGGTGTCTTCTGCAAGTGATGGGCAACTAATTGCTTCTTTCAGGAATAGTTGAGGAATACCAGCTTCCATACCATGACCTTGTGCCCAGCGACCCCTCATACGAGGACATGCGGGAGATTGTGTGCATCAAGAGACTACGCCCTTCGTTTCCCAACAGATGGAGCAGTGATGAGGTATCATCCCTCTTAAAATGCAGCCTGTATTTTTAATCAGAGTGAGTGAGTGAGATTGACCAAATTCTGCATAATTTTGAGTGAGAAGGAGCTTTACCACTGGTGCTAGCACCAGTTAACGGTATAACAGGTCTCAGGAGGGAACGTGACCTTCTGAGATATCCCTGCTGAAGATGTTCAGAGCACCAAGGGCCGTAGCCTACAGTATTTGCAAGTAGGTTCCTCCTGTGCTGTATACCAGATCCCACAGCGATAGCAGGCTGTGCTCCAACCTTCTTAGTCTCTCTATTTTCCTCTTGCAATCATTTTGCTTTCTGCCTCTGGCATTAATAACATGAAATCAGTGGCTAGCCAAAAATTTTGAAAGATAAATTATTTGGTAGTTTATAGTGCAGTGGCAGCGTACTTGGCGTACTGGCAGCTACTTGCAGTGGCAGCGTCCTTGGCATACTGGCAGCTACTTCAGCGTGTACTGATGTGCGGGCTGTAATGCCAAGTGTTTTATTTTTTAAGGAAGGAAGTATGTCCTGTCTCTTTGAAATGAAAGGAGCATAGAGCTTTTCTGTGATTACAGGTATGGAGGCTTGGAAACACAACTTTACCATGATTTTACAATAACATTAGTGCAGGATATTTCGCTATTACAGATTGAGATGCAGTTGCACAGGCCACTAGCTGGGCTGCAACAAGGAGCACTGATCATTCACTGCTTTGCTTCTCATTTTAGTAAAGAGGGCTACAGGTATGGCTTTTCAGATGAGACATAGGATCCAGAAAATGCTTCCCAAAATAAACTAGGAGGTGAGATACTGGGGAAGAATCTGAATTCAACCTGTGGAGACTCTGTAATGAAGAAAGTTGTGCTCATGGGATCAGAGGTGAACAGCTGAGACACTGCAGGCAAACCTGTGATGCTGTGGAGGAGGGGTCATTAATCATGTTAATTGGTACAGTTTAATGCTGTAAAGTCTTTTACAGTTGCAGAAGACAGCTGCCATTTGGGAACAGCAGTGTGTAGATGAATATTCTGCAGGTAGGTGAAAGATTTAGGTGGCATGAGATGGAGGCAGTTTGGGAATGTGAGGGAAAAATAAAGCACCCTCCCTGGGAGGCTCAAGGACTTGTGCAACAGCCAGTGTGGGAAGATCTAACTGAGACTCACCTGCCTCATCCTCTCCCCAGCCAAATCCTTCTGAGCCTTCAGACCAGGAGTGGAAACGCTGCAGGAAGCGGTGTTAGTATTGATCCTAGGAAGGGCTTTTGTGCAGTGGCACACCATGTGCGTTAGGTCTGCTACCACACATATCGAGCTCCTTGAAATACCTGTTCTTGATTAATTGGTTAGCGTCATCGGTAATCCTACTTCGGGTGTTGTGATGAGAAGCAAACTTGTTAGTGCATAAAACCTTCTGTATCACCAAAATACATTGATAAAAATCCACATTAATCTGAAATGTATTAGGCTGGTCTGGGCACTGCTGGTGGGGTTTATGCTTAATGCCTTCCGGGGTCTGCACTGCTTCTGGGCCAGGAGCCTCATGAAAACGGAAGGTAAGCTAGATGAGATGGAAAACTTCTCTTTCCCTGTTGTAACAAGCAGATCTTCAGGCAGTGTAAATCCATAGGCTGACAAGGTCATCACCTGGCTGCAGTGGCTTATGTGGTGCTTTATGTTTGGAAGAAGGTGGTAGATGCAGAGCAGGGATTTGTGCTCCTTTTCCAGGCAAAGGCAATGCTGGGATGCTATCAGCAAGAGAGTTGTTGCTGGGAGACAGAGGAAGATCTGGCTGTGTTTGGAAGCGAGCAGGAGATGGAGCAGGACAGGGCAGAGCCAAGACAGGTGCTCACAGGAGGCTTTCCAGCAGGGACAGCTGGGCAGGAGCCATGGGTGTGTGCTCACGCTGGGCTGTGCGCCGGGGTCTGGTTGCTGGCCGAGAAAAACAAATTCCACTGAATTTGTACAGCAAAGGGCTCACTGTACAGAGCCACGCTTGTGTGGGTCAGGCCGTGCAGGTTTGGGCAAGCGGAAATAAGAAAAGTGCTTTTGTGGAGCATAAAGACAAGTCTAGAATATAACTTGTCATAAATTGTAAGAGTAATTGCCATGTTTGGAGAACTCTCCTTATCATACAGAAAACAAAAATTCTTGAAAAGTCATACCACCCAGCATGTTGTCTTTTTTATGGCTGCCCTTAGAAGAGACCTTTTTCCCTTGAGTTTTTTGGCATTGCCACCAACTGCAGTCTCCTCTTCCACTGACTCACGTGGGACTTTCTCTCCTTTTTCTCTCTGCAGTGCCTACGGCAGATGGGGAAGCTGATGATGGAGTGCTGGGCGCACAACCCTGCCTCCCGGCTCACAGCCCTGCGCGTCAAGAAAACACTTGCCAAAATGTCAGAGTCGCAGGACATTAAACTCTGACTTGGCCAGAAGCAGCTCTCGTTGAAGGCCCATGGAAACGGACTTTCTCGTGCAGGCAGAAGTCCTGAGGAGGTATTGGAAGTCTTCACTGAACAGTACCTTGAATGCAGTTATGCTTAAGAGGAGCTGTAACTTTGTTTGACAGCTTTTGAGGAGACTGTCCTTTGCAAAAATCGTCTGGATTTTGACATAAAAGATTTGAAGAGGCTTGTCTGCCCTTGTTTACATGGGGAAATACAGTTTTAGTAACTGGTTTAAGATTATGCATGTTGCTTTCCATGAAAGCCACTTATTATTTTATTATTATTATTGTTATTATTATTATTTTGATTGTTTAAAAAGATACTGCTTTAAATTTTATGAAAATAAAATTTTTGGTTAGAAGTAAAAAAGATGTATATTGTTACATTAAAAAAATTGGAAGAAATTGTGCTGAAAATAAAAGCAATGTGACTTTTTCATTTATAAAGAGACTATTGCACTCCAGCATTTAAAAAAAAAAGGAGAGTGGGTCTGTGCAGCTTAGAGGAGCTGTAATGGAACCTGTCTTACAATTGCCTACCTGCAGAGATGACTTTCCATAGCCCTGCGCATGCGGGCAGTTCTCACAGCGTAGAGGTGGGCCCCAATTACATCCCTGCCATCGTTAGCACGGGCGACTGGGTTCCTGTGGGTGGCCTGTCCCAGGGTAGGTGGTGCTTTGATTAAGATAACCATGAGCCGTATGAATGTGGTTCGGTGTGACTTGTTTGAAGAAGCTCTTCATGTTTCCAGGAAATCTGAGAGGTATGGTATAAAAATGATAAACAAGTTCCCCTTTTTTTTGGTTGTGATTTTTTTTTTTTTTTCTTTCTTTCACCCCACTGCATAATAAAGTATTTTGTGTGTGAGTGGAAATGAAGTACACATTTGGATCCGCTGGTGAATTTAAAACTGCTGTGACATACATGCACAACCACTGGCTAAGAGGAAGTTCATTGTGAGAAAATATTATTAGCTTGCTCTTTCATCTGTGTAAAAGTGAGGTATCCATCTACAACCGCGGTTGGAAAAAAAAAAGAAAATCCACGTTCCCTTTTTTAAGGGAAAGTGAAAAACCTCAAAAATTCCAAATTTTGGGGTGGCAAACTTTTCTTTAAGCGTAAGAAGACCTGGTGCCTCCTGGCTGCTATAGGAAGAGGACAGGGAAGGAGCGTGGGACTGGGGTGAGCGGTGAGGGTTGGGCACCACGGCTGGCAGCAGGTAGGTGCCTCCAGTGCTTGCTGTAGTGAGAGGCACCACAAACCAAACAATTTGGCTCAAGCTTCATCTGCCTTGCTGTTTTGGGTGGCCTTCTGGCAGCCTCCGTGCCTCTGGGAGCCGACACGCGATAGTGCCAGGCTCTGCTGCCAAGCTGGAGCTGCATGGCATCATAGTTCCCAGCAAGAGGAGCTTTTAGGGGAGAAGAGCAATGGGAAACTTACTTGCCATTTTTGCCCATTCCTCCTTCCTGGGGCTGCAGCAGTTGCTGTAATGATAATACTACAGAAGGGGAAATGAGCGGTGAAATATTCCCGGTGAAGTGTTTCCTTTGGAAAGGTCTCTGTTCTTCATCCAAGCTGGGCTGTATGGGAGTTACCGATTTACCCTTCTTTTATTTGTTTTAATTTTTTTTGCCTGCCTATGTCCTGTTTCACTAGATGGTGTTCAGTTTAATTTTGAAATAAGTCCTTACAAATGCTGCTTTGATTATGTTAAGCCTATTTCAGAACTGAAGTAATTGCCATGCTGGATTTAGCCTCAGCATTTCTGTAATGCTGCTTTTTTCCCTTTTTGGACAAAACTGATTTATTTGTGGTAGGTAGGTATATAATTGGGGTTTAGCTTCATGGCTCCCTGAAGGTATTTCTAGTTGGAAAAATTACCGTTTTATACTTTCAAGCTGACAGGGTAAAATGCACAGGATCAAGAGAACCAGCAAGACCTCCATGATTATAGGTGTTAAAAAGTTTAATCAGAGGATTTTTGTTAATTAGAGTGTTTTTTCCGCAGTGCAGTTTCCCTGCCATATCAAAAAATACTGAGCAATACAAAAAGATAGTGTCTGAGAGTTAATAGTACACTGAACCCTGGCCCCAAGAGGGGTGATGCTGGTTTCCCCTGTCCTTAAAAAACAGCATGTTTTTGTGGCTGAGAGCGGCATTTGCTCCTCTCCTTGGCTGCCTTGGCTTGAAGGTTTGTGGCCCAAAAAGAGGAGGACGGCCCAGCCTCCCTTCACCTTTTTGTCTTAGTGAATGGAGCCACAGTGTTTCTACTCTCACTCCTTTCTCCTTCATGCCCTTTCATAAAAAACAGCGCAGCCCTGAGGAACTGGGGTTTCCTGGCTCCGTTGACTTTGGCAGCGGTTGGGGTAGACTCGGTCGATCCCACCCAGAGGACCAGCTGAGCCTGGTCCCTGCAGGTCCCCGGTAAGCAGTCACGCAGCAGGGATGCCTCTTCCCTGGCATGTTTTAGGTGTGTTGCATGTCTGCTTTCCTCAAATAGTTTTAAGGTTTTTTTTAATTATCACGGCTCTCCCCAGGAATGTTTTGGAGGGTGCATTGACAGCTGGCGGACACGATCCCCGCCATGCCCCCAGCACCTGCCATCAGTGTGTTGCAAGAAAAAGGTCCAGTCACTGTTTTTCTGAACAAGTCTTACTTTTTTCAGTCTGAAAGAAAGGGATCTAAGATACTGGTGGATAGGTTACATGAAGTGTGTATGTTAAATGTTCAAGTTTATGTGTCTTTATATATATAT